GGCATTTATAATTTTATTTTATGAACAAAACTATTTTTTAGATTAGTAAACCTTCATTAGATTTTTCCATTATCAGCACGTTTGGTTAGGTTATGACAGTTTAATTTAATAATAGAAAAATTATAAAATTGTCTGTTTCATCAAACGCAGCAGTTAGTGACGTCAGCAGTTAGTGACGTCAGCAGTTAGTGACGTCAGCAGTTAGTGACGTCAAACGGCACCTGAGAAATCTTCCGTGTGCCCCACCAGGTTATGCTCCCAAGAAAATAAAGATAAACAATATGATTGCAGATATGAAAGTGTTTGTTAATAATGTCAATTTTTATTTTTATTTATTTAGTATTCTATAAAGTAAACAATAAATTAAATAGATTGATATATTTATAGTTAGTAGTTAGGCCATATATTCAATCTTATACATAATTATAGAAAAAGAAACTCAAATAAACCATATATTTCCCACATGCCTCTGTCTTAATCTGATATAGATGCTTGAAATAGATTTAAAATTCACACACATTAAAAACTAAAAAGTAGAAAATAATTTATAAATAAAAAACTTTTTTAAAACAAAACGTTTTTAAACGCACTAAAAAGTAGAAAATAATTTATAAATATGTGGAGAGTATAAATACTTGTAAGATTTAAAACTAAAAACGTTGGGTGCATGCAATTGATAATAATAATACATTACAGTAGTTCAATAGGTGAAGGTAATTGTAAATTATCTATTGCATGCACCCCACGTTTTTTGTTTTAAATCTTACAGGTATTTATTTTCTCCACATATTTATAAATTATTTTCTACTTTTTAGTGCGTTTAGATTTGTTATTTAAAAAAAAAATTTATTTATAAATTATTTTTTAATGTTTTCTACGTGTCCCACTCATAGCCCTCATAACAATTATAAATTCTAAAAAAAAACATTATTTCTATTTCTTCGGAAAATTTTACTCTCCTATTGTGCAGATCGCTGGTTTTTATATAGAGTTGTGAGATTTTCAAACCTGTGATCTTACTGTATTTAATGGTTACGTGTGTTAAATAACTAAGTAAAATGAGTGCAAAACGAAAACGTGTTGTCCTATTGCTAAAGGACAAAGTGGAAATAATAAACCAACTAAAAAACAGAGTGGTGGGAAAGGTATTGGCGGAGAGATCTGGTGTCGGGGCGGCTACCATTACTGACATTAAAAATAACAGGGAAAAGATTTTAAATTTTGTGACTACGTTGGAAAGTGATGATGGATGTTCGTCGCAAAAAGTGATGAAAAATGCTAAGGATGAACAGCTTGAAAATGCAGTTTTTACTTGGTTTTTGCAACAAAGATCTATTGGACAACCGATTTTGGGACCTATTTTACGTGAAATGCGCGAATGTTCAGTGAAAAAATGGGTGTAGCTGATTTCAAGGCAAGCTCGGGACGGATACGCAATTTCAAGAATCGGCACAGAATTCGGGAATTGGATATTGCCGGTAAAAAACTTTCTGCTGATAGTGAAGCTGCTAATAAATTTGTGGAGACATTTAAAAATGAAACAGGAATGTACGACCCTGATCTGTGTATAATGCTCACGAGACTGGTTTGAATTGGAAAGCGTTACCAAGAAAAACCCTAGCATCTAAAACAGAACAAAGTGCTCCCGGACACAAAGTCAGTAAAGATCGCGTCACTATAATGGTCTGCGCTAACTCTACTGGTACCCATCGCCTTCCTTTGTTATTGATCGGCAAAGCAAAGAAGCCGCGGGCTTTTAAGAACGTAGCCAACTTACCAGTGACCTACACTAATCAGAAGAATGCTTGGATGGAGAGCACTATTTTTTGGAGTGGTACGATAAAACCTTTATTCCTCAAGTTAAAAAATTTAAACAGGAAACAGGAAAAAAGGGTAAAGTTTTACTTATCATGGACAATTCGCCCACACATCCTTCACTGGAGCTTCTTGTGAGAGAAAAGGGGAGATTTCAGTGTCTCTTTTTACCTCCTAACGTGACAAGTCTGCTCCAGCCTATGGATCAGGGTGTAATTGAGTGCACAAAACGTCTTTACAGACAACAGCTGCTTCGTAAATTGCTCCTAGCTGAAGAGAACGAAGAAGAACAAGTTTTGGATTCTTACAAAAAAATCAACTTGAAAGACTGTTGCTACATGATTGCAGACTCTTGGAACATGGTTAAGAGTGTTTCACTTAAACGGGCATGGAACAAATCAACGGTACGTCTACAAAAGAGCAAATCGAGAAAAGCAAGCTAAAGAACGAGAACTAACTGCTGACGCTGCTGGCGTTAATGAAGAAGAACCGGCATTGCCATCAGTTGGGTGTTAGTAAACATGGCTAAGGAAATTGCAGGTTGTTCGGAGTGTGATGTCGATGATATGGAAAAGTGGTTGGAATGTGATAAGAACAATCAAGGATCAAGGATACCAAATAATGACTGATGATAAAATTGCAATGAGTGTCATGGATAAACAGGAAAATGAAGATGAAAACAATGAGACCACGGGAGACGAAGAGGCAGGAGACAAAAGTGTACCATCACATAGTGAGGCGTTTATGTGTTTTGACAACGCCCTCAAATGGATGGAGCGACAACCAGAGCTTCTTGCCGTCCGGCACCTGCGTGTTCTAGCTGCGCGGAAACAAGCTACAAGGTCACACGCTGATTGAGATGTTAAAGTAAGCGTTGTTAAAGAACTTTTTGAAAAGAACTTTATATTGTACTGTAGTTTTGTTCTTATAAATATCAGTATTTGTTCCTCTACTGTACTTCAATTCAATTTAACAGCTCTATTATTTCTTTATTACCATTCTGTGTCCGATTATCCTAATCGACCCCGGTCCCTATTAATTCGGATGATCAGCGTTTTACTGTAGTACATTGCCCAAGGCCAACCTCGTTTTCTAATTCACTTTCAGATTCATCGAAAACATTAAAATCATCTTTATCCATTACAGTACTTTTAATTGATGGTATGACTTTCTTGATCATACTAATCAATAAAATAGTATAACACCTAAAGGTTTTCATTATATATCCTATAAGCTGTTATGTTTTGGAAAATGAGCTAGCAAAATCTTAATATATAAAAGAAAGTTGTGTTAGTTACAGCGTTTATAGCTAGAAAACTACTGAACCAATTGGCATGAAAATTTACAGGGATATTCCTTAGGTACTAGAATAACATAATAGCCTGTTTCCGTTTCAAAAACCCTTAAGGGAAGCGTCCTATGGCCCTTTGCAGTTTACATGTTAATCTTATGGAAGAATGTTTTATTTTTTACCTAACCCACCATGTTAAACTTCCCTATCCCAAGCGTGATGTATACAACTTCCTTACTTCTCGAGTGATGTAAAGTTGAAAAAAAAACTCACTCGGTGATGTAATGAAACCCATTTAAATAACATTGAGTGCTTAACTTAAAAAAATATACCTCTATGGAGGCATCGACGTTCAACACTATAGTAATACCAGAAACAAAAGAACCCTGGGCCGTTTCGAGCCGCGCAGGTTTGAAGGGTAAGCCACACCTACCGGCGCGAACCTCGTGATCTTTTCGTTTCTGCGCAGGTTGTTTTGTTCGTGGTATGTCTATAGAAATCAGCTGTGAGCTTGAATGTTATTGTTATGCTTTAAAGTATTTTCCTAACCTAGCTTTTGTTTGTAAAAGAACGTTTCTGTTTAACGATGAGTGAAATGGATAATGAAAAATATTGTACGTAAACCCATGTATATTGTCGGGTCAGGTAAAATCTTGTACGTTACACGTTGCGCAAGAGCGTGTTTACATCTCTTAGGTGTATTATGCAACTCGCTTCCGCTCGTTGCACAACATTCACCTGCGTGATGTAAAAACGCTCTTACTACACTTGTAATGTAAATAGCTAGTTCACCATGCCATGTTTGTCATTTCTTGATTAAATTAAATTAAGGAAACAGCTGTTGTAATGATAACCTAATTTTTTAAAACAAATCTATGCATAACAAATGAGAGCTAACAAATAGGTTTCTATTCCATTTGTTTTTTACAAATATTTGTTGTCAAATGTAACTGAAGGCAAGTGAGCGCAGCGAACGCGCTCCAACCTAAAGGTGAGTGAGCGTAGCGAACGAACTTCAACCAGGACGTGATTGAGCCATGCGAACAAGCTCATCTTGAAAATGAATGAGCATTTGACATAAAACCACATTAGGACAGGACGACGTCTGTCGGGCCAGCTAGTAATAAATAATAAACAGATACCACTCATTATTAGTTCAGGACAGTTTTTTTTTTTTTTTTTTTTAGAATAATGGGAATTTTAGCTTGTTTTTACAAAATTAACTCAAACCTCTTGCAGGTTGCAATAATGACAAACAAAATCAATTTACAATTTTTGCTACACCTTTCTATGGCATGATGACTAATCCGTGTTCGTGGCACAGAGAAGTAAGTTACAGAGGTAATTTCCAATGGCAAACTTATCTGGTTTCTAGCACTAGTGGCTGGAGTCGAGGGCAAAGGCCAACACCGCCCGCTTGCCCTCATGTACTACAACGCTCACGGTGGAGGAAGGCACAGTGCTCGCCGCTCAGACTCTTCCGTGCTCGTCACAAGTATATTTCCGGCACAACATACCAGAGCTGAAAGTACAGGGTCGTCCCATAAGCAAGTTTCGTCTCGACTTTACTTCTCTCAAGTTCTCTGTGCTGTGATCTTTATTATTTCCCGCGATCGAGGGGATCATCATCATCAACTGCTAGAGTGATCAAATCATCTCACGTGATCCCAGCAAATTTGGAATTGTTTCATTTGGGATTAGAGAGTAATATCTGACAGTATGGAAAATTCTGTCATGGGAAAATCTCTAACTAAATGTAATCCTGTTAGAAGATTGTAAACATTTATTCTCCTAGGGGTATGCAAAGTATTTTCATACAGTGAAGTGGTACGTCAAAACCCCAGTAAAGGGTTGGTACACACTGTTTCAAACTATCTACCTTTCTCTTCCTCAGCCAAGTGATGGTAAAGGAGTTCACATGAGCAGTTTCTCTACGGACACTTGTCTGGTGCCGACAGAGGAAGGTGGCTTTCGACCGTGTGCCAAGCAGTTCACATTTATCACCGAGTGCTTCTTCCTGACACATCGCGCGCTCAGTCTAGGCATGAGTGCAGTGCAGGCTAAGGCTCAGCGATTGTACCAGGAGATTGGCATGATGCAAGCTCGACTAGGAGCAGACGCACGGAGTGCTGATATGGAGGAGGCTATGACCAAGTGAGTAAAGCAAACAGCTTCAGTAATAGAAATTCTGCTCATTATCATTAGCTTTTAATTTGGTTCTTTATTAGGAGTGGAAACCATATGAATTAATTGTCACTTGAATACCATCAAGATGGTATGTGTTCTTAGGATTAAAATTTACTCATTCTTTCAAGGGTAATCGATGGACCTTAATGGTTGCCTGAGTGGTTGTTTGATGTTGTAGACCTGTACTTATTACACTGTGTGGTGAGGAATTCATAGAGTCTTTCTCCCACTAAACTATGGAAATTTTTTTTACATTTTCCTCAAACTGGGCTACAAATAACTTACTCTAGGTTCTTTTTGACATCAAACCATCAGTTAGGCAATAATAACTGCCAATCTGATTCGGACTGTGACGCATAATTCTAGGGGGGAATAAACTGGTACCGTACTCACAAAGTCAGGCTAGGCCTACCCCTAGAACCAGCCACACTCAAATTTCTTCCCAGTTGTGCTCAGAAGGAGCGGAGAAAAATCCAGGGGTCAATACGAAGTTGTCACGGCTTTGTCTGATCAAACTATTAAATTTAATCGAAGAGTCATAGTTTTAGAAGCGCTCAGGAAATCCTGCAGACGCTCAGTTGGAGCTATATCATCCTCACCTTCTTTTAAGTGTTTTGGTAAATTTTGCCTAATTTATAGATTTACTCTGTAGGGCAGACAATTATTCTATCGTAGCCAATGTGATATAATTACTCGTATTCAACTTTAAACTATTTTCTGAAGACGTTGGTAAATAATATAAAATAGAATATAATGTAAAAAATTCCTACAGAGTCTACGGAGCCTATTCAAAACGAAGAATCTAACGTGGTATGGTTAAAATTAATTTAATACTATTGTTTGTAATTAGTTGTCCAAATCTGAACACTCCCAAGACTATTTTCTACCAATGACAGGGTTCAGAAATCAGATGACAAGTCTCGGGATATAAAATGACAAAAAACAAGAAGTAATTTAGACGTTATAATTATTTGTTAAGCGAACGGAGAAATCGTAATTTTGAAACTAATTAATTAAAATAAAACTAAACGATAGCCACTGCTAGTCACTGTCAGGCAGGAACTGGCGGGTTCAGCCTCAAGTCGGTGAAATTTAAGTTATTTAAAATTTAAAATTGAATTTTGGAACAAAAATACGTGGATTAAAAGGAAAAGATGATCGTAAAACGTGAAAGTAAGATTATCTTATATATCTAACCTTCCGATTACCGGCGTGTGGATCGTAGACGTATCGTAAGCACTTGAGAGTGTAAGACGTAGTAGTTAACTATGCGGTAGGCGACAAACGAATCTACTACAAACTACTATAACGACAATCTCACAAATGCCTTTGACGATTGAACGATTTGAATATGATGTAAAAAATTCCTACAGAGTCTGCGGAGCCTAATTAAAATATTTAAAAGAAGAATTTAGCGTGGGATGGTTTAAAATAAATTTAATACTATTATCCTTCATAATTAGTTGTTTAAATTAAACCACTTCTAAGACTTGATTCTTTCACCCGCGAAAGATGGGGTTTAGAACTCAGATGACAAGTCTCAGGGTATCAAAACAGTGAATTAACCAAATGAATTTACGTAATAATTATTCGTCAAGTGAACAGAGTGATCGTAATTTCGAGACTAATTAATACAAAACCAAGCGACAGTCACCGCTTGTCACTGGCAGGCAGGAACTGGCGGGTCAAGTCGGCAAAATTTTAGTTCATCAAAATAAGAAGGTTACAATACCTGCAGACTGCCTATAGTGGTCCTCGAACATCCAACAGGATTACGCGTTTTGGTATATTGTTATACCATCATCAGATCCTTATTTACAAAACTTGAAGTTTTTCGACTCATATCACGTCACAGTTTTAAAAACACAGTCACAAAACCTTTAAACACGAATAAACTATTTACAGCAGGCCTACCATTTAAAAACGAGAGACAAAAAAAAAGCAACGCATGCATTTCAAATGTCGAGTCTCGACTAGAGGTTATCTTGTCCTAGTATTTTTACTTTGTCCCCCCGGCTTCCTTTAATCATTCCTTTTTGTCTCTGTCTAATCCTATTAATGTTTCGAATAATATATTAGACTGGAAAAAACTTTTATCATTTAATAAATCATTAGGGCGAGTTTTTGTTGCTTTATATATTTCATAATTTTCCAGAGTTGTCATAGTTCGTCCTTTCCTACTATAAAATGTCCTTAAAATGTAAAGCTGTTAAACTTGTACTGACATTTGAGTAACTGTGATTTTCATTAACAAGAGATGCTCGGCAAAACTGGATGTTTGTGTCTCTCTGGTTTGGGGGATATGTTCCTTGAATCTTTTTTCAAAAGATCGCCCAGTTTGACCTATACATTTTGCTGCAATCATTGCATGTTACTTGATAAATTCCAGATTTATTATTAATGCTTTGTTTTTCCTTTGGATTAACCATGTTTTCTAATTTATTGCTGGTTCTAAAAGCTGCAATTTTCCCATGCTTCTTTAATTCATTGTTAAGAGTTAGAGGGAATCTGCTACCATATTCAACTGGGACATGATCTGAATTTTTAAACCGCTGATTAGTTGGTTTCGGTTAAGTCCTCTTTCTTAAATGTTTCCCGATTGAATTATCAATTATGTTAGGACTGTAACCATTGGAAATTGCAGTATGCTTCTGTGTATTATTCTCTTCTTTAAAATATTCTGGACTTAATGGTACATTTAATAAACGGTTCACCAAACTATTATGAGCTGACATTTTGTATGAAAACGGGTGATGGGAAGTTGCATGTATGGTGGTATCTGTAGTTGTAGGTTTCCTGTATATGTTGAATGAGAATTTGCTATTTTCTTTTTTGAGGGTGATATCAAGGAAATTCAACACATTAGCTTGCTCCAACTCTGCTGTGAATTTTAGTTTAGGATGAATGCCATTAATATAGTTATTAAATAGAGCTATCTGTCTTGAGTTTCTGTTGAATAGGACTATTATGTCATCAACATATCTGTAGAAAAATATTATTTTTTCTCTGTATTCATTCTTCTCTGTGTTTATGTGCATGTTCCCAAAATTGTTTAGGAAAATTTCCGCTAATATACTAGATAAAGGTCGCCAATCCTTCATGTTGAATATAATAGTTACCATTGAAGCTAAAATAATTTTGTTTTTGTACTAACTTTAGTAAGGTCATGAGTTTCTTTTGTTCAATCTCACTCAACTTTGAGTGTTTTTCTAAATTGCACTCTAATATATTTAAGGTCTCATTTACAGGTACGTTAGTGTACCTATAGATTTGTGATGTCCAACAATGCAAGTGTATATCTGGGATTGAGACTTACATTTTTTACTTTTTCTATCAATTCTAAGCTGTTTTTAAGGCTACTACTATTTTCTAATTTTACCTCCTCCTTTATTATACGTTCCAGCTTTTTGGCAAGTTTATAGGCAGGTGCAGTCATGTAATTTACCAGAGGTCTGATAGGTATTTCATTCTTGTGGATCTTAGGCAATCCTTTCAACGGAGGAGCTTGATCGAGGGTTAATTGGCTTCATGTACCTTATCTCTTTCTCTGATAACAAATGTTTACACTTTGACATGGCTTTATTTACTTCTTTAGTAAAAGTTTCGGTTGGATCCTTATTTAACTTGTCAATGTAATTTTTAGTTATAAATTCATCAACTTTACAATTATAATCAGTTTTATTCATAATTACAATGGTGTTCCCTTTGTCAGCTTTTGTAATAATCAAATTATTATTTTCTGACTTATTTTTAATTCCTTTAAGAACATGCATTTCTTTAGTGTTGGGATTATGCTTCTTATGAGTTTTTTCACTTTATTTAGGCTACGTTGTTGTTTATCAAACCCTTTCCGTAATAGAGAAATTAGTTTTTTCTTTTGAGCTCTCTTTTTTATATCTATTTCCTTAATTATTTGAGGTTCTATTTGGGAAGAACACTGTTGAGTTGTGCTGGATGGATATGATTCAACATGTTAATATGAGATCTAAGTAGTAATTTATTAAGCATAGATTTTTTCCTATGTTATTGTTTGACCTCATTCTTTAGCCAAGCTTGTTCAGCAACCAATTTTGCTCTTTTTGCAGCAGAAGATTTATTTTTAATTGGTATGCAAATATAATTAGGGATTACTTGATTTTTTATGCATTCTTTGTTACAAGTTATGTTCTGAGCTGTCTTCAAAACTTTTAACTTCAAAGTTTTCCAGGTATAAACAATTTTTGCCAAGCTGGCTGAAAATTCATGTTGTAGTAGTTGTTTTTCTAGGCTACTTCATGAAACCTACAACTACAGATACCACCATACATGCAACTTCCCATCACCCGTTTTCATACAAAATGTCAGCTTATAATAGTTTTGTGGACCGTTTATTAAATGTACCATTAAGTCCAGAAGATTTTAAATAAGAGAAAAATACACTGAAGCATATAGCAATTTCCAATGGTTACAATCCTAACATAATTGACAATTTAATCGGGAAACATTTAAGAAAGAGGACTGAACCGAAACCAACTAATCAGCGGTTTAAAAATTCAGATTATGTCCTAGACAAATATGGTACATTAGCAGATTCCCTCTAACTCTTAAAAATAAATTAAAGGAGCATGGGAAAATTGCAGCTTTTAGAAACAGCAATAAATTAGAAAACATGGTTAATCCAAAGGAAAAACAAAGCATTAATAATAAATCTGGAATTTATCAAGTAACATGCAATGATTGCAGCAAAATGTATAGGTCAAACTGGGCGATCTTTTGAAAAAAGATTCAAGGAACATATCCCCCGAACCAGAGAGACACAAACATCCAGTTTTGCCGAGCATCTCTTGTTAACGAAAATCACAGTTACTCAAATGTCAGTACAAGTTTAACAGCTTTACATTTTAAGGAACATTTTATAGTAGGAAAGGACGAACTATGACAACTCTGAAAAATTATGAAATATATAAAGCAACAAAAACTCGCCCTAATGATTTATTAAATGATAAAAGCTTTTTCCAGTGTAATATATTATTCGAAACATTAATAGGATTAGACAGAGACAGAAAGGAATGATTAAAGGAAGCCGGGGGGACAAAGTACAAATACTAGAACAAGATAACCTCTAGTAGAGACTCGACATTTGAAATGCATGCGTTGCTTTTTTTGTCTCTCGTTTTTAAATCGTAGGCCTACTGTAAATAGGTTATTCGTGTTTAAATGTTTTGTGACTGTGTTTTTAAAACTGTGATGTGACATCATGAGTTGAAAAACTTCAAATTTTGTAAATAAGGATCTGATGATGGTATAACAATATACCAAAACGCGTAATCCTGTTGGATGTTCGAGGACCACTATAGGCAGTCTGCAGGTATTGTAACCTTCTTATTTTGATTTGCATGAAGTGGCCTAGAAAAACAACTACAACATGAAATTATAGTTCTTAAATTTAAATAATTTGAATCGGGATTTTAAGAAAACAAAAATGTATAACATGTACAGAATATGTGTGATAAAATGAAAATAACGTAAAATGTAAAAGGGGCCTAACTAGTATGGTAGCTAACCTTCGTAATAAAATCGTAGTGTCATGTTCGTAATTTGTGTGAGAGGCTTCTAGCGAGCTAGTCGGTGGTCAAACAACGAATAATCTCTTCTTCGGACCAAATCAAGGTTTCAGCTCGGCCGAGGCTTATGCGCTCTGGTGGTGAGTTGAAGGACTAGCCAACAGCTGATTGGACATTCACTTGTTGAGCCGGTCTAGTTCATCTGTCGTCTGTCAACAAACACTAGTTTAGGGTTATGTTGTGTCATCGTCGGCATTAAATATTGGTGAAATCGGTCGGTTTAAAAAACTTTATTTGATAAATTGGCTTGCTATTACTGATAATTATGTTGTGTGAGTGTGTGCATGTACTTCACTGTGATTAGAACTAAGGCCTACGTTATTTGGCCCATAGTCTAAACTATGGCCAACACCTAGGCCTAAGAGTAGGGTATTGTGGATGAAAAACGGGTAAGTTCTGGTGTTTATTTCATCGTGACACGTTTTACCCCCCTAAAAATTTGGTACCTTACAGGACAGTAGGTATTGTTATTAGCCATTATTCAATATTTCGACAAAATATAATGTCAAGCCCCATTATAAGTAGACAATAAACCTACAAACAGAACATGCACACCAAAATATTACATCTTTAGGACTTAATGTGATCAGTTGTCGCACTTCCTTGTAAGTTGTTCCAAACATAAATGGTACTGTATAGTAAGAAATAGCTGCTAGCTTACCCTAGAAAAAGTACAGATAGGCCATTATAGAACAGAGCAATTTCTGCAAAAAGCCCATTGTGTATTTTAAATTTTCCGTGTATTCTATGGCCTAACTGTACATCTTCTAAGGTAAATCGGGTGCTCTCCTTCATTCTATAAATTAAATACCTATCTTTGACCAAAAGTTAAAAATACATTAGTCAAATATCCCAAGCAATGGGGGTGTTCGGATGATATATAATTTGCAGATAGTCAGTCATTAGACAGTTTAAATTAGATACATTATTTTTATTTTTTACTGATAACATTTAAGTATATTTGATTTTTTAAAATTTTGATTGTCACCTGCCAATACAGCAACACCTATGAGCCACCGGTAATTGTGTCCCGAGACCACTACAACATCTGTGTGAACATATCTTGTGGTCTCTGCTATACCAGTAATTGTCTCCTGGCATTACAGCAACACCTATGAGCCACCGGTAATTGTGTCCCGAGACCACTACAACATCTGTGTGAACATATCTTGTGGTCTCTGCTATACCAGTAATTGTCTCCTGCCATTACAGCAACACCTATGAGCCACCGGTAATTGTGTCCCGAGACCACTACAACATCTGTGTGAACATATCTTGTGGTCTCTGCTATACCAGTAATTGTCACCTGCCATTACAGCAACACCTATGAGCCACCGGTAATTGTGTCCCGAGACCACTACAACATCTGTGTGAACATATCTTGTGGTCTCTGCTATACCAGTAATTGTCACCTGCCATTACAGCAACACCTATGAGCCACCGGTAATTGTGTCCCGAGACCACTACAACATCTGTGTGAACATATCTTGTGGTCTCTGCTATACCAGTAATTGTCTCCTGCCATTACAGCAACACCTATGAGCCACCGGTAATTGTGTCCCGAGACCACTACAACATCTGTGTGAACATATCTTGTGGTCTCTGCTATACCAGTAATTGTCTCCTGGCATTACAGCAACACCTATGAGCCACCGGTAATTGTGTCCCGAGACCACTACAACATCTGTGTGAACATATCTTGTGGTCTCTGCTATACCAGTAATTGTCACCTGCCATTACAGCAACACCTATGAGCCACCGGTAATTGTGTCCCGAGACCACTACAACATCTGTGTGAACATATCTTGTGGTCTCTGCTATACCAGTAATTGTCTCCTGGCATCCAGGCAACAACCTTTTAGTTAACTGATAATTCGGATAACCGAGCTTTGGATAATCAACGCTCTACTGTTGTATAAATTTTGACAATATACTTTTATTACTAGATATTCCAAGTACAGTAGAACCCCTGTTAACTGAATTCGGGTTAACCGAAACCCGGGTTTACCGAAATGGTTCCATAAATTAATATAGGGCTGTAAAATGCTTTAGTAACTTCAGTTGTTTAGTTTAAAATATTTTCTAACCCATTGTAATATTTTTGTAGCTGAAATAAAACATTAAACTACCTATATAGAAATTGTCTTAAATTCATTTTTCCTACACACTGTGGTAATACATCGGTTATTTTTAGCACATGATGGGTTAATATCAGTGTTGGGGAAGCTACTTTTAAAGCTAGCTACAACTACTGCTACATTTCCAAAAAAGTAGCTTAGCTACAGTTCCGGGAAAGTAGCTAGCTACAACTTCAGCTACAATGAAATGTAACTATAGCTACAATTTTAGCTACTTTTCCAAAGACGTTACTTTTATTCCACTCACATTAGGTCAACGTAAAATTAATTGCAACTATATAAACCTAACTTTACAACAACAGAACCAAAATAAGTTAGTTGGGTGTTCCATCATATTTAGTACTTATTTTTAAATATTGCATTATTTTTAAGCATCTTATATGTAAATTTCATTAAGTTCAAAGGACATACAACCATACTATATTTTAAAAGCCCATTTTATTTCTTTAATATTCATTCATTTATAGATGTCTTACATTAACTATTAAAAACAATAAAACTGTAAAACGATTATTTAAAAATACTTTTTGTGTTACAGAGCCTAGCCTACTGAAATTGGAGTTTATTGCCTTTCTTTATTTTTAGTGTTGCCTACATTGCTATAACTTTTAACCATAGTAATATGTTACTTGTTCTATGAATAACACTTTTCAATGTCAATAAATCGTCCTTTGTCATTATGCATAGGTAAAATTGTGCTTAAAAAAACGTTGGTGCAGAAAACAGTATTCAGAAACTTATCCTGAAATCGGCTTTAAATTTAAACATGTTGAAAATTGTTAAGTAAAAATAACATTTAGGCGTACTTGGCTTTGTAACAAGTTGGCTATAGTAGGCTTGTTCTTACAAGGACTAAACAGATATATTCCTATTAATTGAACATGGTATTCGTATTAATCCAATAGCATAGCCTAGGAATAGTCCTTGACGAGAGCTGTTAGCAGGAGCAAACTACTGTATGCTACTTTTTCAATGCAAGTTTCATGTTATATGGAGATTTTTTCGTTACAATTATTATGTAGTCTAGGCATATCTTAAATCTCATCAGGAAATTTCCTCTTCGTTCATTTAGTAAACCTTTGAAAAATCTTTGTAATCTAACCAAGGAAGGGCTTGTGATGATGAACCACAATCAACAGCTGAAGCAAAGGTTGATAGACCAGCTTTCTCATTATTTTAAGGTTTAGTGTTGGTTTCCATTAAAGCCCAAGTTTAAACTAAATTGATACAATAAAGAAACTAAATTGATTACTAATTTCCCTGTCAATCACTTGCAAGCATTCAATAGCTTCTCTTGTAACGAAGCTCACCGGTAACGTCGTCGGTTTAAACGTCGTCTGCATCTAGCGATTTTATTTTATCTGACAGTAATCATAGAGTAGCAAATGAAGGAAATGAGAGCCAAAAATGTGGATAGTACTCAGATAATGGCCTCCATGTCCACGCAACGTTGTAATAGATAATGAAACGACTGTGACCAGCTGTATGAAGCCAAGAAAGGAGGCCTAATTTTCTTGAAAATCTCAGTTTGAAAAAGGTTGTTTCACGTAAGGTTGTGATCAAAATCACTATCTCAATCAATGTTAATGTAGCGAGAAAAGTAGCTAAAATTCCGCTACAACTACCTTAAAAATGTAGCTAGCTACAGCTAAAGCTACAAAATCTTAAAAGTAGCGTAGCTACAGCTAACGCTACAAAAAAAGTAGCGCGCTACTGTAGCGTCGCTACTTGTAGCGCGCTACTTCCCAACACTGGTTAATACTAAGTCTAGTTGATGGACAATATCCTTACATAGTATTTCTTTTTCTTATTACAGTAGAACTCTAATCATCCGAATCTAATAAAAAATTCGGATAGTTGTATATTCACCGAAATTCAAAGTCTTTTAAAGAAAATATGGCGAGCCATGTCAAGCTTTTAGTAATACAATCGCAAAACCCGTCTGTGACAATTTCTCGATCAGAAAGACAATTTCGATTAGGATATTTGGAGTTTGTATAATTGGAGTCCTATTGTACTTATTTTGTTACTGAATATTAATCGGAGTTATAGTACAAATTCCTAGCCATGTACTGATTCATATTACAATCTGATAGCTGGACAGTGGTCAGTTTTTATGTAGTAATTTCAAACTGTTACAGATAATGTTACTGTCATGTGTAATGTTACAGATATTTGAGCCTGCGCTGTGCCTTAATTGAGCCGTCCACTTTGGTGCTGGAAGGCCAGTTTGTGATAGCCACTTGTGCATGGCTTGTCCAAGTCGTATTTGATCCTGACTTGAGGGAAAATAGGGACACTTTCAATCCCACTGAGTTTCGGGAAGTCAGTTTCCCGTTGCCGGACGTTGCTCCTCCCACCCTCAAGTAAGTTAATGCAGATCTCTGATCTCTTTATCAAGTTATAACTTCATCAAGAACTGTCAACCTATTGAGTGGAGCTCTCATACTACAGTCCTTCTTTTGTTTAACAAAATACTCCTCCTCAACCCCTAAAGCGATCCGCACAAAATTAAGCACAGTCACAGTAACCCAGTATGGAAAGGTATAAATCTAAAATAAAATATTACAAATCAGACTCGATGGCTTTTCCCAGCATGAATAAACCTTTAGAAATTTAACCTTATGGGTTGATTGGTCGCCATGACGGTTATGCAAGATAACAATAAAAAGGTATATACAAAAGAGCCATAACATATAATTATGTTTATTACAAGCACATTACAAATACATAACAAATTCAAATTCTAATAGTTTATTGCCATTAAGTATACATGTCATACAATAGACCAGGTCAAATGAGATAATATACAACTCAAAGTACAACGTACAGAGTCAGGTCAAATAGATGAACATGCTATACTAATAAACTAATAATACTGGTTTTTATACAAAAGTATTTGAGATGTATTGATAATGATGGCAATAATACTGTTGAAAGTCAAGCAAACAAGTTGGGCAAGTGCCTATATAAAAATAATTAGGGCTAAAATTGGCAGTGAGATACAGCCTAAAACTAAATGACAATACATTTTTAAATAAAATTGACAGTAATAACATTATTATGAAAGACAATTATATCACAGTTCATGAAACCATTGTTAACAATATCGTACTTAACAATTAGAATTTTACAGAAAATCATGTTTGAAAGACAAAAACTCCTCGATAGAGTAGATAACCTTTCTGTTCAAAAAATCAAAAATCGGTCAATACATTTTTCAGTGACTTAATAGGCAAGTTGTGTACAGTTTCAGGGAGTGCATTGAAAAGTTTGAGTTGTAAATATTTATAGCTGCGCTGTGTTGAGGCCAGTCTTAATGATGGTAACTCTAAATTTAGTCTGGTGTAATGATTGTGAGTTAATGAGCGAGATAAGAATTGTTCAATATTTGATTTTACAAACATTATATTCTGCAAAAATGTACACACTTGGTAAAGTGAGAATTTTGTATTCAGGGAAAAAGGTCTCACAACTAACTCTACTTTTTATACCAGCTTGGATACGGATTGCCTTTTTCTGTTTTTTTAAAACGTTAACTGCCTCGTTACTACTGCCCCACAAAATTACCCCATAAACTAAGTGACAATGAAAGAATGCATAATAAACATTAATTAACATACTTAAACTAACATGATTTTTCAACCTCCTGAGCAGAAACGTTGAGTTGCTTAACCTTGCAACAATCATTTCATTATGACTACGCCAAGATAACTTACAGTCTAATATGATTCCTAGCAGTTTAGCATTATGTTACTTCAGATACAAGATTAGTCTGTGAAAAAGTGATAGAAACAGTTGTATCATTGTTTACTGAAAATTTCCTTTAAACCAACTATCGGCTGCTATTTTTATCTCCTCAGTTTTAATTTTTGCCTCTTGCAAAGATTTGCTTGAGACTATTAACGAAGTGTCGTCTGCATACAGTACTGATTTTGAAGGGAGATTAGATGGAAGATAACAGTATATACCCTATGGACTCCGAAACCGCTCGACAGATTGTAATGAAACTTTCAGGCTTTATTAAGCTTTATTAAAGTATGGTTTGTGTGAAGTTTGGTGCAGATCCGTCCAAACGGCTCCGCCCCAGTAGCTCTGGAGTTTCCCATGTTAACCTTATGAGTACTCATATTTAAATAGAAGAATCTTAACAGCTGTTTCAACTAAACAATATGATTCTGTGATGTTCAATAGCATTAAAAAGTTATAAGGTTTACCAACAGGGTGCAGCACTATTAATTGTTTAAATTTTAATCTATGAACCAAGCATCAACAAAATGCTGTGATACAAAATGAGAACTGTCAAAGTAGGATTTTTTACAGAGTTATGTTTATGTTTTAAATTTATTAATAATTTTTGATATTGTGGGAATAAGACGTTTAATTTTTTAAGTGCATAATTCATTAACTTAGAGAATCAACTTTTTTCCTATTCGTTAACAAAAGTCTATTGTGTTAGCACGGTTTATTTCCCCAAAAATAATGTTTGGGAAATAGAGTAGCCAGTTAATACTTTTAGTGGATCACTAAAAGTTTATCTACATACAGCAAATCCATGGATTATAATAATTATCTTTAGAGTTCTCTTCCCATTGCGAAGCACGGGTATGACTGCTAGTTATATATACATTGGTTATTGTATTTTATCCTCTGTCTATTACCATGGAAGTTCAAGGCCTCTCTGTATTGCTCTACGGTTCTGGGATCTTCTAATTGTGTGACCAATTAATTTTTATCCATCTTCTCATAATTTCTGTTTTTACTGGAACTTCTTAGTTTGAATCTTAAAAAATATGAGAGAAAAATTAGAAAAGTTAGTTAAAATACTTCAGATGCCACTTTTGTAGGATTTTTTAAAAGCCTATGCTTTACACACAATTTTTAACCACCCATTTCTTGTGGCAGATGTGTACCGGAAGTACTGCTAGAGAACGTCTCCCAATACCTGGTTGCCGCCAAGAGGTTTGAAGTGGCAGGGGTTGTTCAGGAGGGTCTGGAGAAGCTTCACCCAATTCTGACACATCTCCTGGTGTTCATGTCGGGGTCAGTGCGTGCACGCAACCCACATCTGCGTGCTCAAATGGCTGAGTGCCTAGAGTGTCTGCTGCCGACGGAGAAATCTGGGTCCACGATCAACACATTCTTCCGGCAACAGCTGTTTTTAACACATCCACATAGGTTCCATGTTAGTACAAATCCATGTTCCATCTTTGATCATTTATCACTGCCTTTGAAAGAGATATAACTGGATGATCCTTAATTAGTCAATAAATGTTGTTTTTATTTGTTTAAAATTTGTAGAGATGAGCGGATATCGAAAATTCGGGTGGATTTGGTTCTGTTTGGATAGCCAAATCTGACCCGAGCCCAAATTTGATGCCTGACTCTATTAATGTTAAATATCCAACTTTTTCGGATCGACTATGTATTCATACGTTTTAGACTGAAAACTAAATCTTTATTATCAATATCATTGTAATCTAATCAACAGACTAATTACAATCAATATACTTCAAAACATCAGTAATGACGCGTTCGGGACAGATGCTAGTGCAGAGCGCTCGTTTAGATATCTTTTCTTGATAGTGGCTATCTTCCTGGGGAGTGTTGCTGAAGGTCTAAATCCCGGAAGGTCTAATTAGACCTTCGGTACATATTTTGCGTTTAGTAGCTGTTGCTGAGGGTCTAAATCCCAGAAGGTCTAAGAGTACAGTCAATGCAGAAAACTTATCCACTGATACCGTTTTAGACCTTGCAGGATTTAGACCTTGTACCAACTATATTTTGTAAATAAAAGTTTTAGGGGTCTGCGGTACAGAAAATTTAAGGTCGGTACGGTTCGGTACGGTACAATATTTTGTACCTCGGTTCTCGGTACAAAATGGGTACGGTACGCGGCTACCCGTATTTTTGCGGTTTTCTGCTCAGAACTGCATTTAAACCATTATTTTTAACTTTATTGACATTACTATGAAAATGGATAGTATCCTACATTCATGGTTTTCTAACAACAATTACTGTACCGTACCACACATTATTAAAACAAAACCTTTTACTACTACAAGGATTGTGTCAAGAAAAATCAATGTTAAGATAAAGGCTTTACCTATTTTACTCTGAGATACTTTGAATAGCCATGATAAAAGTGGTTTTAAATATAGGATAAGAGTTTTAAGGAATAAACATGTTAAAACATTTATTGACAAGATAATTTTACACCTGGTAAATTATTTCCAACCAACACAATGTCTAGTTGTTTTTTAAATTAAAAAAAAAAAAATAAAACCATTCAGTACGGAGACAGTGTAGTTGCCAGCTGTTCATAGCAGACGACAATGAAAAACTGGAGGCTATGATGAAGTAATGGCAAAGAGCATATTTTTTTTAATCAGCTTCAAAACTAGTTATAAGATGGTACAACTCTTGCAAAGTTTTTTTTCTGAAACTAAAATTTGGATTATCACAGAGTAAGATTATTGTCTTTTCATTTACAAAGTTAACATCCACAATATCAATCATATCAATCATTAGTATATCTCAGGCTCAATATTTTCTTAGTATATTTATAAGCTCTCTTCCAAAGAATCAAAAGACACAGGCCTAGATCTAATTATTTAGGAGGGCCCATATATAAATTGATTAGGTTACAATGAGGGTGTAGCAAAATCACTATCTAGTTCATAAGATTTAGATTGCATAAAGTACCTTCAACACAATAAAAAATACAGGAAACTAAAAAACATTTAAGCCTTAAACAGCCACATCTAAAAATATAAGACAAGATATAGAACATGCAATGACATAATTTGAGACCGAGTAGGCTTGAATAAGAAAAAAAATTATGCAAAAACAACAACTATGCTTGTGGTTTCGTCAATAGAAAGATAAAATATCTATAAAAAATATTTTAACTTATACAATAAGATTGTAGATTAGTTACAAGTTTAATATGTAGCCATAAACAGTTTTATGGCAGTAGGCAATGGCCAGCGACAAACTGAATATTCACGAAAATACTGACTGAGTTAGAGATAACATTTAATAGTCATCATAAAACTATTATTTTTTTTATAAAATAGAATTGGAAAAGTCGTAAAGAAATAAAAGTAATAAAACTCAACAGTTCTTGGAAGTACTTGAATACAATAATTATTGTCATGATAAAATGTTAATGGGTTTGGGACTGCTAATGGGTTTTTTATTGCATCATCACCCTAGGAATAAATTATGAATATCATAAACAAACATCTGATAGGACTTTTATGTGCTTGGAACCAACTGTTGTCGACTACGATAGTAAACTGAAAGTAATTTATTATTATAATAGGCTGTACCGAACCGAATTTGTACCGTGTAAAATGCTGTACTGAACCGATGACGGTAATTAAGCTTGTACCGTACCGTACCGACTTTTTCGGTGCACCGCAGTTCCCTAAAAAGTTTATAAAATGAGAGTTGCTGAAGGTCTAAGTCCCGGAAGGTCTAAAAATGTGAGTCCCGGAAGGTCTAAAAATTGTTGAAGGTCCAAGTCTCAGAAGGTTTAAAATGTGAGTCCCGGAAGGTCTAAAAATGTGGGCACTGCGTCGCCAGAGTTGAAGGCTATACACATAGGCAATAACGCAACAACTTATAGAGTTGTAATTATTCTCAGTGATAGTTTTAGTAACTTTCACGTCTATTATTTGCTAGCTCGTTATTACGAGTACGGTGGAGATATAAAAATTAAAATAATCTCCATTGATATTACTGTATATACAAATCGTTCAATATATAGTATCAGCTTATAAATAATGTATACAAATACTTACTCAAAACAAAAATCTAAGAAAAAACCACCTATAGATTAATATTTAATTTAAAAAAATTAAATTAATAGTTATTTGTGTAACTAGTGAGCAAAATGGCACTTTGCTGCACACGAGAGCAACGTTTACGAATGATCTCGAGTTCAGCAAAGGCCATTTGCACTCGTGTTACACACTATGGGGCAGTTTGGGAGCTCGAGCCCAGCTAGTACGCGCCTAGTGTTGGACGCGCCTAACTTTAGTCCCCGGACCAGAAACCAGGCTTGGGAGCTCGTGCCTAAGTTGAAATGGTCGTAGATCAAGTGTAGTCGCGCCTAAGTTGCAGCGCGGCTAGATGGACAGGGAATCGCGGGGAATTCAGGTTTTGACGTTGGCAACGGCCATTGCAGAACCCGTTACCGTTGACAACAACAAAAGATGAACACTTATTGAAGACTAGCAGAGTACCCGTCCTTCGTACGGGGTTGGCAAATAAGTATAAAATGCTTATTGCAGTTATACTCAATCTTTGCGTTTGCAATGTGAGAAAATTTTCTTCCTCAAATTTACGGTATGCTATAGTATTACACATCTACCATAGCCATAATTTCCTACCACTATTGAGAAAGATAGATTAAAATTCGCAAAATATTGTAAATTATTCCTGAAATTAAAAACATAAATACAACTGTAAACAATCCTACATTGACAGTTCTCATTGCGTTTCACAGTTTTTTGTTGCTGCTTAGTTCAAATTAGCTGTTTTCATAAATAATGAAAAAAATAATGTGCTGCACCCTGTTGGTAAATCTTGTAAATTTTTAATGCTTTTGCATATCATAGAACCAAGTCTTTTAGTTGAAACAGCTGGCTAAATTCTTTAATTCCCTTTAAATACGAATACTCATAAGGTTAACATGGGGAACTACAGAGCCACTGGGGCGGAGCCCGAAAGGAATTTTGAGATAAGAATATGCCTATATGTTAATCGGAAATGTGAACTATCATCATGCCAAATTTCAGCCCAATCCGACCAGTATTTGCCGCGTTTACTTGTCACAAACATGCATCCATACATCCAAACTTTCTCATTTAGTAGGATGGGTACAATTTTATCTTGGTATATCAATGGTGGCTAATTAGTAGACTATGGTGTATGTTTCTGCATTGTACCATTGCAAAAATGTAGTTTTGTAAGATCATTGTTTTACATCTCAATGACTGAAGAACCGTAATTGTTTATATTAAATTCTTTTAAGATCTAACTTTATTTTCACTTTACGATTTATAATTATTTAATCAGTTGTCCTTAAGTACTACTACACCTTATAAATATGTACAGAGCAACATAGGATTAACATCGGAAACTCGGTTTCATGCAATAAAAAGCTTCAAAACTAAACAGTAATTTCCCAGTATAATATAGGGGTATTGAAAAAAAATAAATAAAAAGTAATTGCGGAGGTTATGATTGTGTGAAGCTAAGGTAAATGTAAAACAAATTTTTTAATACAGTACTTAGAAAAAATTGTTGTCAATTTAAAATCTTTTTTACATGACACTCTTTTATCTAATTTTCCTAGGGAAGTATCTATTACCGTAGGTAGCACTTAGTTCCGGGACCGATAAACTTTTCCATTTTGATGTCCCTAGAGGCCAAAAACACTGTTCGTTTAAAATTTTATATATGTATAGCCTATATATAAATGTATTATATATACGTCCATAAACGTGATAACTTGAGTAATTTTTGTCTGATTTTGATAAAATTTGGCATGAAAGTGTTAGGCGCGATTCTCCTTAATGAGTTCGCAAACCAGCATGATCAGACCAAGGGAACCCGGAGTTGTATAGGATAAAAATAGTTTTTTTCTCAATTTTAACCCCTATAACATAATTCTTTGTCTTTAAAATATTTTAAAGAGTAATTTAAAGAGTAAAGAGTATTTTAAAGAGTATAAAAAACAAATTAATATCTTAAAATGTTTTGTACGGTTATTTGCTACAGAGACTATTGGTAAAATTTTAAATTTTAAATTCCCATTCTTATGGAGAATAAGTTAACTGTTCTAGTGTGGTCGTTTATGGATATATTTTTATGAAACTTGGCAAATTTATTTATTTTTTATAAAGCTGTTAATATTTTGTTAAAAAACACACTTTATTACCCTCCCTGTAGCAGCATACCTACACCGTAGGTAGTTTCAGGTGCTTGTTAAACCTAAAGTTATTTAAATAAATTTAATTGAAAGCTCTATTAGGTTATTTGGAAATTAGCTTAGTCTGCAGGTTTTCTGTGGCGGGTAATTGATATACTGTATATATTGTCTTATACTACAAATAATATAGGTACTCCATTTTGATGTAACTAGCACTTGGTCAATGACACTGAACTGAGCTC